GTCCAAATATAACTTTAGTGTTCACTCAACCAAACTGCATATCAACTGGCCAGGGCGTTTGATTATACTTGCTCTATGAGTGCATCATACATCCCTGTAATCTACACTCTCAGAAGCCCATTTGTCTGGAAGATGTCCCTGTCTCTGGCTCCTTTGCATTTTCCCAGTTCAATAGTATCAATGGACTTTTTGTAGATGATTGAATATGTTCGGCATCAAAACTGCCTCTGGTTGAAGCTGGCTGGTGGGTAAATGGGAGTTCACTTTATTATTCTATTGCTGTATTTGTTTGAAAATAATGTTAAAGTTTTTAAAAAAAAAAAGAAAAAGAAAAACTTTTGAGCTGAGGTGATTCTGTTATGCATGAGACAGCCACCTCACATCCCATGGGTCCCAGTAGGCTAGAGTTTCTAATTTTCATTAGCAGTCACTCTGAGATGGCAGAAGTACATGAAGTAAAGGCATTGAGAAGAGAGAGGAAGTGATGGTAAAGGTTATGTGTCAACTTGGTTGGGCCATGATTGTCAGTAGTTTGGAAGTTATGATGTAGTTTGTCAGTTATGTAATGATGCAGTCATCCTCCATGATGAGATATGATATAATTTAATCAGTTCCATGATGAGATCTGCTATGAGAAGCCAATCAGTTGAAAGGGCATTTCCTTGGAGGTGTGGCCTATATCCAATGTATATGGAAGAGCTGGCAAAGTTCTCTGGCTCTTTGCTGCATCTGGATCCTGTACGTGGTGCAACATCGTCTGACTTTGGTTCTTTGGACTGGAGTCAGTGGCCGACCATACTGCAAGCGGATCATGGGGTTAGCCTTTGACTGCACCTGCTGATCTTGGGTTCATCAGCACCTGCAGCTACATGAGTCAGGAGAAACTTCCAGCCTGACGTCTGACCCATGAATTCAGGACTTGCCAGCTTCTACAATTACGTGAACTATTTCCTTGTGGTAAATCTCTTTCTATGCATACATATGGAGCTCTGTGGCATAGTGCCTAAGGCACTTGACTAGTAACCAGAAGGCTGGTGGTTCAAACCCACCAGCCACTCCTAGGAAGGAAGACTGGGCAATCTACTTCCATAGAGATACTGCCTCAGAAACCCAAGGAGAGGTTGTGATGAGTCAGAACCGACTTGACAACAGTGAGTTGGGTTTTTTCGTTTGTTTGTTTGTTTGTTTTTTGGTTATGTATACATATAAAAAGCTTCACTGGTTTTGTTTCTCTTGAAAACCCAGGCTAAGAGAGAGGTAGACATTTTTTCCCAAAGGTTCTGAGTAAAGGGTGGTTTTGTGAAGCCCAGACAAGCGTTCAGGTTAAAATGGAAATATCTTTTGGCCAGAAATTACATGCTAGTTGCCCTCAGCATATGTCTCTATGAAACAAAGCCTCATTGCCCCGATGCATTCCAAGGCTGATCAGTAAGCTGTTCCTCATTCATTAACTATGTCTATTGTGCTCCTCTATATGAAGCCCAATGCTAGACATGGGTACACATATATAACATTTGTCTTTTTGTGATCAAATTGACAACTGTAAAGCATGGATGAGAACTTTAAGCAGCACAGAGTGAAAGTTAATGGTGGTGAAATGATACTGGTAGAGATAACGAGAATGGTGACACACAGTGCAGAACGTAATCTAAGACATTGATCTGGATCTGTACACATGAAAATTATTGAAAAAAATTTCAAAGCAAAAAAAAAAAGCATTGTGTTTGGTCAACTGTAAAGAGAAAGAGTGTGACCAGCCTACACCTAGTCCCTGAGATTAAATCTCTACTTAGGGTTCTTGGCCTATAGGCCAATGGCCAGAAATCAGCATAGTTCAACTCACTTCAGGCCTAAAACCACTGTGTATAAGGTTCTGGGCTAGCAGTATAAATACAAAGAGAAAAAAAAAAAAGTACAGCTTCTGTCCTCAGCCTAGTGTGGAAGACAGATGACAAAATCAACTGTTTAATAGAATACACGGGGTGCTATGGGATCACAAAGAGTATATTCAGTGAAGGCTTCATGAGCTAAATCTTAAAGGATGGTGAAGATTAGGTGAGTGAGAAAAGATGGAACAAAGCAAAGAATTATAAAATAGCATGTGTCAGGAAATATTTGAATAACAGTACAAGAATATAGTATAAAATTATCTCTAGAATGAAAGCCCCATGAGGGTTGGGGTTGCGTTTCTTTCTAAACAAGTCTAGCTCAAAGTAGGCACTCAAAAATTAGTTGAATAAATAAATGAATAAATTAATTCCACTCTAGAGTGTTCTAAAAGAAGTGCAGCCAGAATGGTCTTTAGAAGAGAGAATGGCCAGACTTCATCTGACCTATTTTGATCACGTTGTTAGATCAGTCCTTGGAGAAGGAGATCATGCTTGGTAAAGTAGAATGGCAGTGAAACAGGGGAAGATGCTCAATGAAGTAGATTGACACAGTGGCTGCAATGATGCACACCAAGGATTGTGAGGATGGCGTCGGAGCAGACAGTGTTTCATTCTGTTGTGCATAGATAGGGTCACCATGAGTTGGAGCTGACTCAACAGCACCTACCAACAGCATAGAGTGTTCTGAGTTCAAAGTTCACAGTAGGGAGTAGTGGGAGAAGTAGACAGGGCAAAATCACAGAGACCTTGTTTGGGGTTAATTTTTGTCCCCAAAAAAGATGTGTTCAAGTCCTAATCCTAGTACTTGTGAATGAGACCTTATTTGGGAATAAGGTCAAACCCACCAACCACTCTGTGGAAGCAAGATTGGGCAATCTACTTCTATGAAGATTTATGGCCTCAGAAACCTAATGGGGGTCATTATGAGTGAAAAAATTCTATCTTTGCAGATAGAATGAGTTAATGGGGTCATACTGGATTAGGTGGGCTCTATTCCAATGTGACTGGTGTCTTTATAAGAAGAGAAGAAAAACAGGGGGAGACACAAAGTGACAGATACTGCAGACATAGCGATGGCCTTCCAGTGCCCATGTGCTTACATGCCCTGCCCTCTCCTCAACTTGGCATTGCCCCAGGCAGAGACAGACTAAGTCTGAGATGGAATCCCAAATGTTCTCACATGCTTAAAGTTCCTTTAAGAACAAGTAGAGCTGTCTAGGAAGTCCTAACATTCCCAAATGACAAGAGTGAAAAAGCGTTTCCCTTTTTTCCAACTCCCAGACTCATGGGGCAGGCAAGGGCTTCTTTTGCCTCACATTGGTCCCTAGCTTCTGGGCAATGAGTTCAGCAGTCTGGCCACTTAGCTAATCTTAGCATCCTTTTCCTACTCTCTGCTATAGCTGATCATTTAGGTGTCTAAGCCCTGCCTATGTTTCTGCCAGGAGTTCTTGTCTTGGCACAAGATTATGATGCTCCCTTCATGCCCCAATGCTACCATCCAGCTGTCACCTGGCTCTGAGGGGGAAAAAAACTTTCACAACTCTTTTATGACACCTTCTTTCTCTGGCCAAAGCCAAGGGAACTATTTGTAGGGGAGATGGTCACCAACAAGGCAACCCAGATAAATCATGAAATTCTACACCCACACTTAGGTAACTGTATTCTCAAGATTCCAAAGAATATTTTGCTGTTATAGAAGTGGATACATGAGCAAACCGGTAAGTGAAATGGGATCAAGATGGAGTCACAACTATGGGGTTCATTTCAAATAATAGAGAGAACCATGATGCCCAGAGACGGCACTCAAACAGAATGCTGCTGTCTGGGGATGCAGGATCACGAGCTATGGGGATGGATCATTTCTTCCCTACAACACACTAACCGTTAAATCAGTTCTAGATTTTGTCCATCCCTTGCACCAAAATCCTAACACAATTTTTGGCTGCTAAGAGATCTCCTTTGGAAACTCAAGTACACACCAAGCCCAGCTTCTGTTTACCACTCTTTTCCTCCTTTCCAACCTCCTAAAAAAGAAAAAAAAAAAAAAAACTCACTGCCGTCGAGTTGATTTTGACTCATAGCAACCCCTCGTTGGGTTTCCGAGGCAGTATCACTACAGAAGTAGATTTCCCAACCTTCCTTTGGAGGAGTGGCTGGTGGGTTTGAACCGCCAGCCTTCTGGTTAGCAGTCAAATGCCTTAAGCACTAGGCCACCAGAGCTCCTACCACCTAATAAGTTGCTACTAAAAAGATGATGAAGGAGCTCTAGTAGCACATGCCTAAGGCATCTGAATGCTAACCAGAAGTTGGTGGTTCAAACCCACCAGCCACTCTGTGGAAGCAAGATTGGGCAATCTACTTCCATGAAGATTTATGGCCTCAGAAAGCTAACAAGGGTCGCTATGAGTTGGAATTGACTCGATGAGTTGGAATTGACTCGATGAGTTGGAATTGACTCCACAGCAGTGGGTTTGGTTTTTTGGAGGGTGTTGAAAAGAGATGATGAATACTAAGGGTCTTTAACTTCCATATTTCATCAAATATAAGATGTTCAGTAATTGATGCACTATTCTTTTTTAGAAATAAAAAAATTCCAAATAAAATCTAACACCCCATCCATTACAAAATGCATCCTGATTCAGAGATGTTGAGATTTTGGGGGGAAAAACTGTGCTTCTTAGAATCAATGAATTATAATACTATGGCCAGGACAGAACTCAGGCAATGGGAGATCACAAGCCATTTGATTTCAAGGAATCACCTCTGTAAATTAACAAGCCCTCAACACCAATATATATAAAGGCTCTGAGAAGTTTCTGTAAATAGGTTTATTTCCAACACTACGTGACCTTTTTATCTTGGTTGGAGGAGTATTATGGAAAATTATAGAAACTGTCGAAAATTAGCATAAATAAAAAATTATGAAAGGGTGTCAAATAACTAAAAGGTTGAGATAATCCTGCCTAATGTTTAATATGGATTTATATTTAAAGTATCTTGCAGACAATAGAAGTGAGGAGAAGTTTTACAATTAGGAACAAAACTGAAAGCTCCAATATCTTTGCAATACTTCAACAAATAATTCTTTCACCTTTGTGTGTTTACAAACAGATTTTTGAAATGTGTGGAACTGATGCTAAGAAACTGGAAACGAAGATTCGAGAACTAATGTAAACGGTTTTCCTGGACAAAATACACTTGTAACATTTCCAAAGGTCACAGCAAATGTGTTTGTGTTCTCATTTCTGGCAAATATTTTAATTTCCTATTGGTCTAGCTTCTAATGCTTTACAAGTTAAATTCTATATTGTAATCTCACTGCAAAATTGCTTTAAACTGTTGAAATATCAGCAATCGTATCATTTCCATCTTGGGCTTTCTGTTGGGCAATATTTGTATGACCTTTACAACAGAGACCCTGCACAGCTAAGCCATCAAGAAGAGCCAGAGATTGCCAGAGATGCGATTCTTCACACATCTCAAGGAGCAAATAAATGCTTGATGACCCCCGGGCATTCCAAATGTATGAACGCCTCTCCCCAATTGAACTACTGTTCAATTCTTCTCCAGTACAACATCTTGTATTTGACTTGTGTTGTTTTTCTCCCTTCTACTGTCTTTCTAAAATTAGTCTACAAAAAAGAAAGAAAAGAAAGGTTTTTTAACTACCTTTAACATTTTTAAAAAATGGATTTAGCTCAGATGTAAAGTACAGTCCAGAGAAGATAGTTAACTGTGTCCACCATGGAGCTGCCATTGACTGACAGCCAGGATCACAAATAATAAGGTAGAGCCAACTTTCCCAAGCCATTAATGACAGGGAATTTGACAAATCATAGGTAGTTTGGGGTCTTTGTTAGGATTCTTTGAGCTATAAAGTAGAGGAAACCAGCACATGATAGCTTAAGCAAAAAGAGACATTCAGGAGTCCCTGGGTCATACAAATGATTGACTCTAACTGAAAGGTTAGAGGTTTGAGTCCACCGAGAGGTACCTCAGGAGAAAGCCCAGCAATCTCCTTCAATAAAAACAGCCACTGAAAATCCTATAGAACACCGTTCTACTCTGACATCCGGAAGGTCACCATGAGTCAGAATCTACTCAAAGGCAAGTAGTCTTATTCATTCAGCACACATTTATTGGACACACTCTGAGCTAAGCACTGTTGTAGGCACTTGAAATCAAGGTTGAGCTGCAGATTCTAAAAGCAGACAGACAACCTGCTTTCAGGAGAGATTAGAACCAGAGAGGAGGACTATGGGAAATCTTCTGCTTTTCTCTTTTCATCTGAATTATCTCTTCCTTTGTCACAAATAAGTGTTCATTGTTTCTCAGTTCTCATGCTGGGAAGTGGCCCCTGCTAATAGCTTACAAGCATATATCACTCCTCCATTCAAGACACCAGCCAGAGCATTCCTTCAGGAGAGACTCTAGCCGGAAGATGTGATCACAATATAAAATCAATATGGCTCCTGAGAGAGGATGGTGGAAACACAGGGATCCCAGAAAAGAGGTGGGAGGACTAAAAGTATCATGTTGCTCACATATATAAATACCATGTGGTAGACAAGGAGCCCTGATGGCACAGTGGTTAAAGCATTCCACTGCTAACCAAAAGGCTGGCAGTCTAAGCCCACCAGCCACTCTGTGGAAAAAAGATGAAGTAGTCTACTTCTGTGAAGATTTACAGACTTGGAAACACTATGGGGAAGTTCTATTCTGTCCTATAGGGTCACTGTGAGTTGGAATTGACTTGATGTCAATTGGTTTGGTTGTTTGGTATGTCATAGACAAGATGCTAAGTATTTTGCATCTATCCCCTCATTTAATTGTAACAATTCTATAGGCAGTGGTGTCCTGGTAAAAGTTTAACAACTAGCTCTCCGTGGGGGAAAGGGGGCCCTAGTTTGTAGTATTTACCAATTTCTGTGATGTGAATCTTTGGTAGAGTTCAAGCTGCCAACATGACATCATTGAACATGCAGTTGGTAAGAGATGCACACAACTAGCTCTCCTGAGCAGGTAAGAATTTGCACCAGCACACCTTAAGGGACCTCGGAAGGAAGATTAGCCAATCTACTTCTGTAGAGATACCACCTTGGAAACCCAAGAAGGGGTCACTATGAGTTGAATCTAATTGACTCGACAGCAGTGGTTAGTTTCCTTAAAGAGAAAAAACAGACACAATGAAGTTAAGTGACTTGCCCAGAGTTGCTCAGAAGCATTTATATCAGATCCCAAGCTGCCTGATGCTACACATAAATTCTACTAGTCACTTTCATTGCTTAACAAAATATTGCCAACGTTTTTCAGATAGTTTTGTCTGATGCCCTCATTTTGCATAAGGGCCATTTGAAGAGGTGTAGAGTGATATACCTCAATTTGCACTTCCAGTACTAGTGCCCCAGTCTCTGAAGGACCATCATTACAATTTGCCTAATTTCCTGGCACCTAGTCCAGTGAACAGAACAGATCAGACCAATGGGACATGACGACTAAATGCAATATGGTCTCCTAGATTGGACCCTGGGACAGAAAAAAGACATTAGTGGAAAATTAGTTAAGTTTAAAAAAAAAGTCTGGAGTTTAGTTGATAGTGATGCGCCAATGCTAGTTTCTTAGTTCGACAAATATACCATGGCAACATAAGATTTTAACACTAGGGAAAACTGGGTGTGGAGCATACAGGAACTCTCTGTTGTATCTCTGCAACTTTTCTATAAATCTAAAGTTTTTCAAAATAAAAGGATTATTTTAAAAAAAAAGTTTATAATGTGGTAGTTAAGGTTGTGTATCAACTTGGCTGGGCAGCTGGATATAGTGATGAAACTGGTGCTCAACTCCATGGTGGAATCTACTGTGACCAGCTGAGTAGCTGCCTTAGGGATGTGGTCTACTTCCAGTATTTAAAAAGACATTTTGAGAAAGGTCTCTGAACTTCTTGGCACATTTGGATCCTGCATTTGGCTGAATCATCAGTGAGTGGCCTGCCATGTTGTCTGTAGATGTTGGGACTGTTTTACAACTTGAGCTAGTGGCCTGCCACGTTGCTTGGTAATCTTTGGACTGTGCCATTTTACTTGTCGACTTTTGGTTTGTCAGCCTCAGCAGGTAGAACCTGCCTGAGTTAAGAGATGCCTCAAGAAGTGGGATGAGAGCTGTTGCATTGCAGGGAATTGAAGTCAATGTCATGAAATAAAATGTGTATGAATTGCTATATGGAAATTGAATTTGCTGTGTAAACTTTTTCACCCGAATCACAATAAATATTTTTAAAAAAAGAAAGAGAGAGAGAAATGCCTCTAGTTCCAGTGGGGCAAGAGCAAGAGGCAGAGCTGAAGCCCAAAGTCGAGGGGCCTTCACTCAGCCCCTAGAACTGGCACTATGCACTCGGACTTCTAGCCTCCTAAACTGTAAGAGAATAAACTCCTGTTCATTAAAGCCACTCAGCTGTGGGATTTTTCTGTTATAGCAGCACCAGAGAACCAGAACATATAACCAGGGTGATGAAGGAGAAGCACGAGGGCTGTGTGAGCTTGTAGCAGGGAAATGTGACACCGTCCGACGTCAGGAAGAGCTTCCTGGGAAAAACGACTGTCGACCTAAGATCTAAGAATTGGAATTTTCATAATCATAAAAAAGAAAGAAAGAAAGAAAAGAAACATCAGGTTTGCTGTCTGATAGAGCCTGGTGAGACCCCTGAAACTATGGCCCCCAGCTACCCTTCAGGTCTGAACTATATTCACTCCTATGGCTTACAGCCAAACAATAGACAGGCATATGGTAGATACACTCCTTAGAGAGATCAATTGATCAATTGTGGGAGAACAGAAGGGCAGAGTTTACACAGGGAGATAGCTGGTGGGGGGGCGGGGAGTGCAAGGGAGGGAAGGACACAAGGAAGAGGTAACACCAGGGTGGGGGGAGTGGGAAGAGAGCTATTACATTGTGAGGAATTGCAGTCAATGTCATGAAACAAAATGTGTATGAATTGCTGTATGGGAAATGAATTTGCTCTGTAAACATTCACCCAAATCACAACGAAAATGTAAAAATAAAAGAAAGAAAGAATGGGAGTTTGTGGAAATTGAAGTTCTCAAAGTCAAACTATGGGTTTCTAGATTACTAGAGCATTTTGCTCCCAAGAAACATGTTTTTCTTCTTCTTTTTTTCCTTTTGAAATAAAGCCCATAATTAATATTAATGTCTGCCTCCCTAGATATCCACCCCAGAGGGGCAGATGGAGGCCTTCTTAGGGGTTGGAGGAGTCTGACTGCTTGTCTGTCCGGAGACAAAATCAAGCCACACGTTTCTCTTTTCCATAAGCCTGGCCTCACCACAGGGGCAAGTGTAGAAGGTTCTATAGGCTTTAAACTTTAAATCTTTGCATCCATCCAGATATACTCAGTGCGTCAAGCAGAAAGTAATCTCCACCAAAGCAAGAGCCCAAGGCGGTCACTCCTCTCTCATTCCCCATCCATTCATGCCACTCCACCAAGTCCAGGTGAGATGTGAGTGAGGGTCTCCCAACCTCACATACAGAAGCTGCACTAGTCAAGGTTGCCATACAGGGATGACAGCCTGGAGCTAGCTTGCTGGAGAGGGCCAGGCTGGTGGAAGAGCAGAAAATGTGGCCAGGGAGCCGTGGATCAGACTGAGACCCCTAGGCCTAGACCAGCACTAGCACTGGTCCAGGGGTATGAATATGCCTGGCTTTTGGCTAAGGCTCCACTCACCCCCAGAGAAAAGGACACTATAGAGAAGGTGTTACCTGAGCTTGAAAGGTTTAATGGTGTCAATGTGTAATATGTACAAGTCAGATGTGTGAAAGTCAAGAACAATCTGTACACCAAATCTAACTCTCACAGTCACTTAGAAAGTCTATTAAGTGCAGGGGTCACTGCCGCATTGGAAACAACAGCCTTGGAACAGGTTGGAGAATGAATTCCATATTCAGATGTAGCCTGAATCACTCCAGCAGCTTCAGGTGTTTTACATTCTCAAGCGTCCCTCTACTTGTTGGAACAGGCACATGTTTCATTTTCTTTACCTTGGCTACCGCCTTCCCATTTTAACAACAAAATGTTCAAAAGTCACGTCAGCATTTAAGAAAATTCCATGGAAACCAGAGGTGTCTCCAACTCACAGCAATAGTCGCAAGGGGATATCTTTTA